ACTATACGAGAAACAGTTAGTTGTTGGATACAATTTTAACACAAAAAAACAGCACTTATGTGTGGAATCATCAAAGATTACTACAGCCATAATTAAAATAGTCGAAATGTCAATAATGAACAGAAACAATCAAACGGTTATCTTCTTTGTTGATTAACAAGGTACACTATGGAATATTTGAAATTGGTTATATTATTGCTTCTCTACCTCTAAATGCGCTGTCACTAAGTATTCTGTTTGTCTGTGATAAATTTGCAGTACACATAATTAGCACCAGGTATTTATAACTGAACTATGTGGATGTAAGAGTTAAGAGGGGAAAATTAACATTAAAAAATTCTTTTTTTTTCTGTGAGTATGTTTTTTGTCTCGTAGGAGTGAAAGTATAGAGGCTCCATAGAACCAACAATCTTTACTATAATTGTTAAATCGTTAGATTGTTTAGTTAATTAGTTAGTCTATGTATATATATTTTTATTTTTACATTTCGGTTCGGGTTCAGATCACCAGGCGCTTGGGTTCTGTTTCTTTTGTTCATCGCGTCACTATTTCCTGTTTTCCCAAAGCTGGTGTTCGTTCGAGCAGATATGAAACATTTTCTTCGAATATACCAACAACAAAATTATATTTCGGTTCCAGTCCCTAGTATTTAAAACTTTAAAATGAAAATCTTCTGCCTAATATACTAATGTCTCTAAATAGCAATATTTTTATACAGTGCTTTTTAATTTCTGTAGAACTAATACAGATTTTTATTGTTGATAAAGTTTTATCTACTTCCAGGTTTTTGTTAAGGATTCAAATAAACGTAATACATTGTTGAAAACAGTTAAGTTTATTATTCACAATGATTTTATACATCTTTATTAACTTCATAAAAAAAACTTTTACAAAGCTTTTTAAAGCTGCTATTAAATTGGCAATCAATGGATTTCTACAAGTATAAATGAGTTTTTATGTAATCAGCTGATGTATACAGCAGTGACCATACAGGAAAAATCCTTTTATGAAAGTAAATTACCTGTAAATGTTTAATAATTAAAAAGTATTAAAATTCACTATTAGAATACATTGAAACGCTATATTCTATTTTTTTTAAATTAAGTATCGCCAAAACGAATATCGAAATTGATGTAAATAGCGATGTTTGACGACCTAGTGTGATCTATTAGTTCATTATTATATCATCTTTGTAATAAAATAAAATGTAGTCTTCATTCAAGTCCAATGTATATTGGATATACATCAAATGAAAGCCCAAACTGACTGGAAACAATGCTTCACTGTTGTGTGTCTCCAGGTACAGAGAGTGAGAGAGAGAGAGAGAGAGAGAGAGAGAGAGAGAGAGAGAGAGAGAGAGGGGGGGGGGAGATAGAGAGAGAGGGGGGGGGGGAGATAGAGAACAATAAATATTCGTAAAATATTAAAACTTATCCCAAGAAGATGATGAACAAATAAAATAGACGTATGAACCAAAATTCTACTTTAAATACATAAAAGATGTATCCCTACTTCAATTAGTTTTAAGTGAAATTTGACATTGACTATCGGAAATACTAACACACAAACAAATTTTGTAGCTACTTAGTTAGAACGATTAAAGTTAGTATATGGGGGTACACAAAGAGTAAATGAGAATAGACCTGAAATAATTTAAAATGAAGAATAATAATTAAACAGAGTATTTTTTTTATTAGCTCCAAATAAAGTTACACTCAATCCAAAAATAAAGAATAATAAGTAATTTATGAATGAAATGAGGTTGAATGCTCGAATAAATTAACTTTGAAAATAAGGCTATTATTGAGCACAAGTTAATTAAATCTAGCCCAAGTACTTTCGCTTAAAATAGCATCTTCAGGGGCATTTCGTCAAAATGTGAACTATCCGGCAAGCGTAGAATGTGGAAACATTAAAAATAACGTAAATTGTACAAAACACTACACTAAAACGACGACAAACAGTTTAAAATTACTTCTACGCTACATTCTCTGTCAGTATCTGGAGGGATGAATGATGTCAGTATCCCTCCAGATACTGACAGAGAATGTAGCGTAGAAGTAATTTTAAACTGTTTGTCCTCGTTTTAGTGTAGTGTTTTGTACAATTTATGTTATTTTTAATGTTTCCACATTCTACGCTTGCCGGATAGTTCACATTTTGACGAAATGCCCCTGAAGATGCTATTTTAAGCGAAAGTACTTGGGCTAGATTTAATTAACTTGTGCTCGATAATAGCCTTATTTTCAAAGTTTAATAAGTAGTAAGCTCTTCCAGTGGGGAGTTCCTTTTTTTTGATTTAGTAACTATAAAGTTTACATATCTACTAGGAGTAGGAAAGATGGACCAAGCTAAACCTTTTTCTTTTTAATAACAAGAGACTTTCCGCACTTGTTACAGGGATTAGCGAAGCCAGTACAAATTTCATGTAACCAGCGCTTACAAAAAATACATTATAACCAGTCATCTTGTTTACATGTTTGGCGATAGTCCTCGTTGCACCCAATATATATCACTCATGTTTTCATCACCAATATTGCCGTTTAGAGTAACATCTTCAGATAGTGACGATTCGCTTGGTTTTCTCTTACGTTTTTGTTTTTTTTTATAGGTTTTGAGCTTTTTTCAATCGAGGCATTCTTCTTCAGTTTAATAAAGTCTTGAGCAGTAATCTCTACAGGTATTTTTTTACGAACTCTCTTTACTGCTGCTGCTGCTAATGAGGTCGTTACCTCATCAAGAGCCTTTCCGGGAGTTATATTTTCATTAGTAATTGATGACTTGTTTGAGCTACCGTGCAAAGATACTTTACCACTGAATCCAGAGGGACCTGGTTGAGGAGATTCTGATCTAACTGGAAAATTCATTGTTTCTGTTTCTGATGGGGTGTGTGTCAAAAATGTATATTCTGGGATTATTGATGGATTAAACGAATAAATTCCCGTGGATTTAAATGCAGCAACCGCATTCTGGACAGTTGCTGAGTTTCCCCATGCTCGACCTAAGAGTTTACCAAACTGAAGGCGTTTTAGAAGCCTGTTTGTGTTATTCTGTACCATAAAACGGCATTCAGCATAAAAGTTGCTTTTAAGTGATTTATAAATGCACGATCCAGAGGCTGTAGGTGATGTATTGTGTGGGATGGCAAACAAAATAAAATTATTTCGTTTTGGTCTGCAAATTCTAGTAGATCTAGGTTGGTCGTATGGGATGTGTGGCCATCTAAATAAGGTTTTACCTGGAGGCTTTCTCGACAAAAAGTGTTTTTGTAACCATTCTAAGAAAATGTCACTGTTTTTATGCTGGTTTATGAAAATATGCTGATTTTTTCAACATCCTAATCTTGGAACCCGGTGGCATACTACTCGTATTTTTTATTTTTCCAGTTAAAAATTCAATATGGGGGCAACAAAATCCCTTGTGCACTACAGCAAGCTATTACACTTATCGTTTCACCTTTTTCCCCAGGGCTTACGCTAGGAACACATTCTGAACCTTTTTCTGCTAAAACTTGACTGGCTGTAGTATTCAGTTGTAATCCTGTTTCGTCAGTATTAAATAAATATGTATCCGGGTTTATCATAAAAATTATATTCGGTAATAATTCTCTCGAGATCAGAAAAGTAGTTACCAACTGTTTCTTTGGACATTCGTAAAGCTCGTGCAATTGAGGTGTTCTCAGCTTTTCTAATTGAAATTTCAGGTCTTCGTTTCAAAAGGACATCTAACCATTTTTTACCAGCTTTACCTAAAAGTAGACAATAAGTAACTCTTGCATCAGATTTATAAATTTAAAAATTTACCTTCTTCTACATTAAATTTATTTGGGATTCCTAATTGCTGAGCTAAATTAAAGGCCATGATTCTTACTTCATTTCTGGTTGGTGCAAAGCCTGCTTTTTGTAGTTTTTTATATGGTCAACGATTTTAGCTTCAACAGCAGTACCTAAAGAACAATCTGGACCCAATCGGTTCATCTTATCCATATTGTTTTTTTTTTATTCGATGTTTTGGGTATTCCAAATGCTTTGGCGGCTTCATTAATACCCATTTCACCATTCTTTACAGCATCTACGGCATCACTTAGCTCCCTAGAGGTCCAGTTACCTGTCTTAGGTGTATTTTGTTTTGCGAATATATTTTTTTGGGCATAATCCTAAAACAAACATACTGGTTCAACTCTCCTCCTCGTAAGTGGTCCATCTATCCTCAAATAGGAGGACAGATGGACCAGCCCGTATTGTTTAAAATAAGTAGACTACAGCAGTAGTTCTTAGTCTATAATACACATTTTAAATATAGTTCAATAATAAACTAACAAATAATCGATCAAACTCCCTGTTTTTAGAAAAAATGTAATTTAAAAAACTCAAATAAAATTATCACACGTGGCAGTTTCAATTATCGTAAATAACACTTCTACAAGTACGCACCGATGCGTTAAAACTGGTGTCTCTTAAGCAACTAACGTTAAACGATACAACAGAGTAGGATAGACTTTCCCTATTGTCAAGCTTGGTCAGGTATACCTCCTGGTCCATCTCTCCTCCCTTTAATAGATAGATTTATATTTGAAAGCTATTTTTACATCACGCAGCTATCATAACAATACAATACAATAAGTAAAATAACAATCTCATTTGTATTGTTATGATACCTGTTGAGGTAATAATAATGAGGAAATATTTTTATAATTACCATTGCATAAATTGCCTAAAATAATTTGGTATCTACAGTATTTCCTGTTTCTAATATGTTTATTGACTACCAATCATTGTGAAAATAAACCAACTGATTTAGGGTCCTATTTAAACAATTGCATTTTTTTTGTAATTTGTGTAGAACGCAAATTACAACGTAACATTGACAACGATATTTAAATTACTTCACCCCAAGAAGATTATCATTTTAAAGCCAACAAAATTTAATGTGAAGAGCTCATTTATACTTACTTAAAATCTAATTGACATGGAATCGGAAATTATTTTGCAAAATTTCAGTGTGCGGTGCGCGATACAAGACGAGGCCAGGGCTGACTTACCACTATGGCCACTCACACAAAGAAGGCGCAAGTGACGAGAACTCTCGCGACAGCAACGCTCCTACTCCGTCTACTCAGGTCGGTGGTGCTGTAAGTTCGGCTTTTCCCAGCCTCCAACCGGGACCCAACCAAACGACTCAAGTGGTGCCGCCTCAAACTGCAGGCGGCGCCGCTACAGGAGGCTCGGTCGCTTCCAATGTGGGAGGGGGGATAGGAGACGTGAGTACCACGACGGCCAGCAGACCCGATCAAGGACAAGTCTATCAAGATAGTTACGTTTCCTTTTTGAACCAGACACCCGGTACTGCCTTTAAAATCTTTTACTTTCTTTTGGAGTGTATTTTGCATGCATGTGTAGTTGGAATGTACTGCCAGTAGTCTTTAATTATTTACAACAGTAATAATTTATTGAATGTCTCATAACATGTTTTTTTAATATCGATTTTACTATCTAAGTAAAATAGAACATCATGAATGTGTTGCTTGTGTGAGTCCATTTCAAATAGGTAAAGAAATAATAAATAAGACTTACTCACAATCAATTTAATTTAACTATCAGACGACCGGTTTCGCTTTCTACAATATGCAAAGCATCTTCAGGTCTCGATACAAAGTTAAACAAATGCTGAAATGATAAAAACCCATATTAGGGTGTTGTCTAATAAAGATAAACAAATTAGATGTTATAAATTACAATAATTATGCCAATATTACATGTCTGTGGTTTTATTTAAATGATTGAGTTGAATAAAAGGTATAAAAATTTTTTTAAAAAAGGTTAAACAGACAAGGTAAGGCCCACAAATTGTTATAAAATCTCTTCTATTGTAATAAATTAATAAATGAGCAAATAAATAAAATAAACATTACTTACATGCCGGTACTCTATTAATAGATGGATGGTAGAACATGTTTGAAACTACTTTATATCGTTAAATGGAGAACTCAATACTATTATTGCAGTTGTTTGACAGTAAACGGGAAGTTCCTCAAGAACTTCCCGTTGAATGGAGAACTCAATACTATTATTGCAGTTCTTGAGGAACTTCCCGTTTACTGTCAAACAACTGCAATAATAATATTGAGTTCTCCATTCAACAATATAAAGTAGTTTCAAACATGTTCTACCATCCATCTATTAATAGAGTACCAGCATGTAAGTAATGTTTATTTTATTTATTTATTTGCTCATTTATTAATTTATTACAATAGAAGAGATTTTATAACAATTTGTGGGCCTTACCTTGTCTGTTTAACCTTTTTTAAAAAAATTTTTATACCTTTTATTCAACTCAATCATTTAAATAAAACCACAGACATGTAATATTGGCATAATTATTGTAATTTATAACATCTAATTTATTTATCTTTATTAGACAACACCCTAATATGGGTTTTTATCATTTCAGCATTTGTTTAACTTTGTATCGAGACCTGAAGATGCTTTGCATATTGTAGAAAGCGAAACCGGTCGTCTGATAGTTCAATTAAATTGATTGTGAGTAAGTCTTATTTATTATTTCTTTACCTATTTAAAATAGAACAATATGTAGACACAACCGAAAAATTTATTCCACATGCTGATTATATATTGATATAAAAAGTATCCTTTTGAAGTGCCATTTTATTTATCCGACATTTTATACATATTAACCTATAAACTTTTATATTGATATGTAGGTTGAATATTCTAGTCTAGAAAAATCAAGACAGGTTATTCCCTTCATTTAATGACGAGTGTCATTCTCAGATTCCAAGTGACAGATAAAGGATCATGCTCATTTTGACATATTAATAAAGAAGAAGCACATACAAAACAATCGGAAGGAAAGTTAAAAATGATTTTATTGTTTTTTTTTTCTAACTCTTCCAGGGTTGTGACTGTTCAACAATCGTCCTAAATTTCTTTCTATCACTTACGACTCTTTTCCATTCTATAGGTTTTGTGTTTCCATTTTATGTGATTTAATCAAATTTACAAATCAGCGTGATTGGTTAGCTTCTTAGCATTTTCATCTTGCATCAGGATAGTCGATGTTTCTCAACCATGGGTTACAAATGTCTTATTATTAAGACCTTGCACAGTTGAAATTTACAATGGTGACTAAGGATCTTTATCTCTGTACTTACCATTATTTTTGGTTGCTAGTGATTCAAAGTATCTGATATTTGCTACTTTTCGAAGCTCTGAAGAGCTGTGAAAGGAGTTTCCATTGTGGGTTATGCTGTGAACATCTATGCAGCTTTACCCTGATTTCCCCGCAATCTTATTTCTTGTTTGGCTTTCTTAGTGTCTGCAAAAGTCTCTCTTAATAATGCCTTATTATGCCCAAGTATAATGCCATCATCAGCATAGTAGCGTCATCATAATAATTTTGTATTGCCACAACTGCCTTAATTTCAGTGAAAGTAAGTTGTATCAGTATGGGTAGGTTTTATGTATAGTCATGGAAACCTGGTTTTTATTTAATTTTCGTCTATTTAGTGTGTCAAAGGTTCCTTTGAAACTGATAAATGAATAAGGCGTCATTCTGTTTTCGATGAGGGAGCAAAACTCTTTGATACGGTTAGTAACATAATTTTAGAATTTCACTTTCGGATGTTTGATAAATTTCTCTTTCAGGTGATACAATAAAATTGCCAATGTATCGTGTCCTTATTTTCTACATCGTTACTATTTAGTAGCTTATGGCATTACTCTTTTCTTAGATTTAGAAATATAAAAATATGCTTTAATCGTCTGTCAGGTTGTTTCTCTCTCTTTTCTTATCTAATCTTTCCCTCGGCTTAAATTTTTTGGTTTGTTATCTCACATCTTTATCTTTATATCGCAAATTTTCCATTTCTTCTTTTTCATTCTTTTTTATTGTTCTTTTTTATTCCCTATCTTCGCAGTTACTTGGTCAGCACATCAGTTGAATGACAGAATAAAACAAATTAGTCAAATAACTATATGAATATACAAAGCTGTTTTGAGTTTTTGAGTCCACTGCTGAGCATAGTCCTCCCATAAATAATTCTATGGCTTACGGTCTTGAGCACCTTGAATCCAATTGTTCTGTATGCGATTAATGTCATCCGACCATCTTGTTGGAGGTTGTCCTCGATTATGATAAACGTCGTGCCTGGGTCTCCATTCTAACATTCTATTGGTTCTTCGCCTGCCCAGTTCCATTTCAGCCTTGTAATTGTTTTAACTGCATTTGAGAGCAGTTTATCTCCTAGCTGATTTGAAAATTAGTCTCTGGACCGCTCTTAACATGGACCGCTCTATTGTTCTCTGTTCCACTTGTATTTTATTTAGTATTTTTTTGGTAATGGTCAATGTTTTTAGTGTCTGGGAGGGGTTCATACATTAGAACCGAAAGCATGCACTGATCAAAGACTTTCCTTTTCAATCACATGGGAATATCTGATCTAAAGATTTCCCTCAGTTTTCCGTAAGGTAACCACGTTGACCTTCCGGAGGGAGTGCAGTGGTCATCGTGATGTAGGCTATTGTCCTCCTCCAAAGATCTGTCTCTGGTCATTTCTTTTAATTCATTTATAGGTCTTTTGTATATTCCTGTCATTTGATGGATCCATTTTATTGGGAATTTTCCTTGATCATTAGCCTTCTACCTTTCCTTGGATAATAAATATTTCCATTTTTTCTGTGTCTGCTCTTGTGGTTTGGTTAACTCTTCTTAAATCTTACAGGTATACCCTTGCTCAATTTTCGTGCCATACGTTGAAATGTTTTTGACTAGTACAAGGTTGTTCATGTACTGAGTTTTAGAAAAGGCCAACTCGTGCACAAGTGCTCTGAGGGTCTTGCAGAAGTTGGCATGCATAATCTACCTAGTCTGTAATAAAGACTATGTCGTCTGCAAACCTCAAGTTGTTTAGAAACTCCCCATTTATGTTGACTCCAATATATTCCCAATTATTGTTTCTCTTAGCACTCTGCAACAAAGCTGTGAATAGTTTAGGAGAGATGGTATGTCCTTCAAGGGAAATGTACTTTTATCTCCAGAGTATATTCTTATTGCAACTGTAAGTGCAGTTGGTTAACATGGATCTACGCTGGCCTCAGTCATATGCTTTCTCAAAGTCTACAAATCACAATGGCTTGTATTCTATAACTTACTCTATCAAGGACTTTATTATTGTAGGTGGTTATTTGTTCCAAAGCCACTCCTAAATCCAGCTTGCTCAGTGGTTGGTGAAAATCTGGCTTGGATACAACAACTTACATAATTGGGATTAAAGAATATTCTTATTGAGAATAACTGACAGATAGAAATGTATCATAGAATTATATAACAGGCGTTTCAATCATTTTTTCTTTTTCTACACATGTATATCTGACGTCTTTTAAATCGACAATTAAAATAAAATATGAGACATTTAATTTCTGATTCTACTTATAATAAAAATAATCAGTACTATTTTTACAACAGCCAAATGCATGTTGAGCTAAAGTTTGAATTGATTGATTAACAATACTTTGTATCAACAATTAGCAGTTTCTAGTTTCTACTAATATCCTTTTCAAAATAAAAACTTGTATTAGGCATAACAAGTACATAATTGATTATTCTACTATTATATATTTTGTGAGAAAATATACATTTTGTTTGTATTCTGATATATGTATTCCTAAACTTTTTTACAATTTTTATAATTTTATCATTTATAACAATATCTTAACGGCCGATCTTTTTGATGCTGTCAGATATTTTGTAAATTACTGAATTGCATTGACTAATCGATTACTTGTTACCAAGTTTTCCTGGATATTTTTCCTTAAAAAAAGAAATATACTAAAAAATGAAAATATCCAAACAGATTACAATTTTTATTAGAAGGTCGTCTGGCGATAATATACTTTTATCATCTAGAATACGCCTATGTATTCAACAGAACATGTTTGTACTTTCTTTAACATCCTTCGATTTGGTGAGTTGAACAAAATCGATAAATTCCCATCTTACCCGGTGACTACATGCGTTAAATATAGTTGCCGAGTTTCCTTTTCCGTCTGATATGTGGAATGTGAAGGTCCTTCCGTATACAGTAATTTCATATAGCCCGTGCTCGAGCTGTGACCACTGTGATGATCTCAAGTCTCTTATCAGACTTGGCATTTGTAAATAGCCTCTTTAAAATAGGTAAAAACCTCTTGATTGCATTTTAAATATCTTAAAAATTAGAATTGAAGCGACATGAAGTCGATGTTATTAGATTCAACTAAAAGTTAACATACTGAGCCCTACTCATGATATAAGGAAACAAGGTATGCTCACACGCATCTATTTTGAACAGCTAATCGCGTTTACGACCAAAATCCGCCATTTTGAAGGCAGCAATTCAAATATGTACACAATTGATAAAAAAAACGTAGTTATTTACTTTTAAATTCCAATACATTGCAAAGTAAGGTTAAAAAATGCAAAACACTTAGCTGGACGTAAACAAAGCATACGTCACGCATGTGACGTATTGAAAAAATGGTGGATTTTGGTCGGTGCAGCGATGTGCAAAAACGAGTCCGCCTAGTGAGCATACCTTGTTTGCTTATATCATGCCCCTACTCGAAACGGTGATGACGTTTTGGTATGACCAAAGATACCAGCGAACTGTACTACATGAGTTGGCTGGTATCTTTGATCAGACTCAGATGTAGTCACCGTTTCGAGCAGGAGTCATTATGTTAACTTTCAGTTAAATCCAATAACATCGACTTCACGTAGCTTCAAATTTAAATTTTTGGGCATTTAAAATGTAATCAAAAAGTTTTTAGGGGTTTTGAACCGGCTATTTGCAAATGCGTTTTTACTGATAATAAGACCAAAAATGTTGTGATGAAAATTGTAATCTGTTTGAATATTTTCGTTTATTTTTAGTAATATTTTTAAATAAATATTATTAACACCAGAAGTTTTGACTTCATTGTAAGCTTTTTTAAAACTGATATACCGCCAACTACTGAGTTCCCTTTTATAAGAACATTTTTTTGTTTATTCTGCCATTCTTCAATTCATGCTCATTAAATTTAATTCTCATTCATAAACATCATTCTCATTAAATATCTAAGGAACAGCAATCCAAAACATGAGTTTCAAACATAATACCACAATAATTTTTATAACCAAAAGTAAAATATTACATTTTAGTGAGACATCTATTTTCACGTAAATGATGAATCCGTTATCGAAATTGCTCCGACTGTCATAGTTTACGGTTGTATAAGAGTAAAAGGGCAACATGGGTACGGCCTCATTTCTCATAAGAAATCGTTAAGGTTCATTCTGCTTACTTTTGGCTCTTTTGCGGTGTGGGTAGAATAGTTCGTTGGATCGTGACGTATGATACGTCATTGGAAAGGAGAGGGGATAGCGAATATGTTGATACCGAAAAAACAAACATGTCGACATTGTTAAAAGGGCAATACATTATATCTCCGTTGTTATTGAAGCGTGTGATTTGTTAAATGACATAAGAGGGTATAACGAATATATCAACCTAGAAAAAACAAACAAAGCAATTGCCAAAAGGACACTACACAGTATCTTGATCCATCTGTCAACTCTTCTTCTTCTTTTCCGCAGCTGTCAAATCTTCTTTTTCCGTCTGACAAATCTTTTCGTTTTTGTAATATCTTCTGTAATTTCAAGTTTGTAAGATGTTCGCCAATTTACAATTTTTTTTTGCAGTAAAATTCACCATTATGACTTAAAATATCTTAAAACGTCTTTGTTATTTCCTTCCCTGTCTTCGTCTTTAATGGACAAGTCCACGTGTGACAAAACGTGACATAATACGTGACGTCTGTCATAAAACCTGATAATACGTGAAGTGTGTTATTTGACATAATACGCGTCATGTGATATAAAATGTGACATAATACGTGGCAAGTGACATTCTACAGCTGACGTCTACGGAAAAGATTTGACAGACGGATAAAGATACTGTGTGGTGTTCTTTTTCTTAGTTGCCTTGTTAGTTTTCCTATCTTGCTATAATCGTTATCCATTCCCCTTTGATTTAACTCATTACATACTCAAATCGGACCAATAAAAACGGAGATATGATGTAATGCCCTTATGGCAATGCCGCCATGTTTTATTTTCAACATATTTGCTACCCTTCTTCTTTCCAGTGATGTATCATACGTCACGATCCGACAGACTATTCCATCCCAAAAGAGCGGAAAATGAACCTTGGCGATTTCTTATGGTATTTAACATTGAAAATGATGCTGTCCCCATGTTGCCCTTTTACTAATACATTTTTTTGTAACAGGAAGTTTAAACTTATGATTTCATAACTTCCCCAAACCTTTCCACTTAACTTTTATTTCCGAATCTGTCGATCAGTTTCTATATCTGTTGTAGTTGTTGGTTTCAATAATCCATGAATGGATAGAGACAGCGGACCGTACGAAACCAAAAGACTCTTTGTTTTTAATTTTTGTTTCGATCGAAAGAAAGTAATCAGTCGTTTGAAAAAATTTAATTACTTATATACCCATTCAAAGGTTGCTGCAGTACATTTTCAATTAATTGTATGAGTATTGTGTAAATGGGACAGCTGATTAAATGAAGTATTAGTTTTAATTTTCTTTGACACCTACACCCACACACACTTTTATAGCAAAAAATATTACAATGGACCTAACTTGTCAGGTATATCGAAAACTAAAGATGTTTTAAAGTTAATTGAATTTAATCTACATAAATTATCTAAGAAAAATTTGAATACTTTTGTTTATTTCTGTTTTAAGTATATCTTTAAGAAGCTCTTGATTTAGGTTTCTTTGAATTTGTGACGTTTTGCTTTTCTATTCGGTTCTATTAAACTTATGTTATGTTTTTTTGTTTTTCATCTTTAAATCGTAAAATTTCCACGATTGATTTGTTATTTTTTCTCCACCAAAACCTTATACATACCTATGTAATAACAATTATTTGATATTATAGAAAATGTTTTCTCAGTGGAAATAATTATCCAACCTTATTTAGAACCATTTATTTCTGCTGTTAAAGTGTCATTGTTTTCATTGCATAAGATTTTTTTGGCCATTAAGTATTTCTGTTTTATAATGTCCATTAGGATGTTGAATTTCGGCCTAAGTAGTTCAGAGGTGAGTGTGCTTTTGGTGGTGATGGTGTGAAATTGTCTATACGCCTTGCATACCAATAAGCAGAGAGATGATTCCATATTATGAGATGTCAAAGTATCTGAGGTCTGTCGAAAAGTATCGGAATTTCGTACAGCAGACCAGAAAAGGAATCACTTAGTCTTTTTTGGTTATGATCCTGGAATAAGGTAACAATCTTCACAACGGAAGTTTCTATCACAGCTCCATCTTGAATGTTTTTTTTTATTAAGAAGATGTTGTGCATCATGAATAGGATGAATGCCAAGAATAGGATGATATCATCACTAATACGATGATTAAAGTATTCCGAGAATACTTCTTCCAAGAACTTTACTGAAGAATTCCAATAAGTCAGATAAAACATTTTACGCTTTAAAAATATTGCATGATGCAGTGGGAAGAAAACGGTAAAATTTTTAGGTCCATATGTGATACGCAATGCACTGCTTCATTTTGTTGTTTTGAGTACTGAGCATGCTGCTCAAAGACAAGAATCACGACATAAAGACGATTCAAGTGAATGCTACAATGACCTTAAAGGCCGTGACAAAAACTAAATTTCAGGTTTTTGTGATAGATCTAGGTATTGAAAATCCTCTTGTTCTTTTTATGTAGACATGACTTTGTTTTTCAATGTGCTTAGAGTAAGTGGTCGTTCCATCGTTTTCGTGGTCTTCCTACTGATCGTCTTCCTATTGGGGAACCATGTCTTGCCGTCTTTACTACTCTATTTGTTGTCATTCGGCTTATATGATCTTCCATTCTACTCTTCTATTTCTTACCCATTTCTTGATGTTCTCCACCTTGCATCCACGTCGTACATCTGTACTTGTAGCTCTGTCTTGTCTTGTCTTGTATCATCTCTGTTCTTTCTAACATCCTTTTTGTCCCTCTGTCTCAGGTCATGTTTCTGCCGCATATGTCATTAAAGGTCTGATGACTGTTTTGTAAATTCTGCCTTTCGTTTCTTTTTCGATATATTGTTTAATTCATGCAACCTTTGGCTCTCAAGTGGCAGAAACTCTGACAAATTCCATCCCTTAGTTTTTTTACTTGATTTAAACATTAGTTTTTTTTTCGAGGATTATCAAAATAACTCATTTTGTGAATACAGGGCTGTATTATTCTTATTAGAGGTATTCGAATATATGAATTTAATTTATTATTATTATATTGATACTTTTAAATATTAAATAATGAGGTCCAATAATATTTTTTGTTTCCAATATCCGATTAGCACTTTTTTTCTAAAAGTAAATATTTATTTTTCACACAATAGGTGGAAACCCGGGACGTGGACGCGGACGACAGCCTACGCCAACGGGGACCCCTTCTCCTCAGATACCATTATCTCCAGCGTCGGGCCAGAGTCCAGCACAGGTTCCGCCGACACTACCGCCTAATTTACCGCCAGGACAACCATCTCCTCCAGTGGAAGACCCACAGATGCCTGTTTTAATGCCAGAAAAAGCGTTGGAAGATAAAATGGCCTCGAACGCCCCTACTACCCCGGCAGATAGTCCTGCGCCTGCGGGAAGCGCTGAGGGCGGCAAAAAACCCTCACCGAGTCCATATTGCGACTTTTGTTTGGGTGATAATAGGGAGAATAAAAAGACGGGAACACAAGAGGAGTTGGTGTCTTGTTCGGATTGTGGTAGATCAGGTAAGGGGATTTTTAATACGGAAGAAAAAGTACATTATTGGTAGTTTCTGAACAAACTGAAAGTATTTTTCATTAAACAGTAAAGTTTTATAAAACACGCATATAGGAAGTAATCAATTTAAATCTTTAACACAGCTAAATAAATTTAAGGTATATCTCGTTGAGTCTCCAAACTTTTTGAGTATCTGGCTTCGTTATAATTACTCCTTTATGCTATGGTATATATAGAGTGCGGCATCGAAAAGGAATTATGTCGACTATGTCCAAGACACATTTTTGCTAAGGAAATTCAACACTACGTTAATTTTTATTCTTTTGGGCAGTTTTTCTATCATATCCTTAACTGTCATATCACTGGCCCCTCTATATTGTTATTCTCGCTAATAATTGTGAAATATTGAAAATGTATTTGTAAAACAACTTCAGCACGTGACAGAAAGAAAAAACAGTCCCATAATACAAATTATCATGCTTTTAATATGTGGACTTAAAATGATAACCCTTATAAAACAAGTGTAATACACATATTAACAGCCAACTATCTATTTAGCTCTCTCTAGATTCTCCTCATTTTGTATATCTATTCACGTTGGATTAGCCTGTTACACTTTTTTTCATAAAAAATATGTCTTGGAAGATATTCAAACTTTTCCCTATTCTTTCATTCTGCATCACTTGCATTATGCTTTCTTTTTGCTGCACCCTGTGTATTAAATTTTGTGTCACTTTCCATAGATTGTTTTAAGTGTGAAGATTAAATAAGGAGAATGTGATCTACTCTGGCATTTCCCCTTTTTGTTTTGACTTTTGACAAGGTATTTATACCAAAAAAAGAGTAGCAGACATATGCAGAAACGCATATATCATACTAAGCCATTGGTTCGAGAAAAGTTGGAAAAAATTAAAGCAAACATTTTAGAATCTGCTAAAGAGGTTAGGTAAAATAGGTTAGCTACGTTTGTACTACTATCAGACTAGGGAAATCAATGCGTTAGAAAGAGAAGTACCTTTTAGGTAAGTAAGAGTGAGACGATATATGTTGACGTTACAAGCCCCGCCCTAATAAGGCTGCCGCCAGTAATTAGAATTAATTTAGAAATTATTTTTGTAGTTTAACTATTATTTGCTAGTCGGCTCCAGTAATTGGCCAATATGACTTGAAATATGTGCAAACGTCTGTGACATTTGATATAAAACGTGACGTGACATAACACGCGACATTGACATAGAAGATGACATAATACGTGAGATTCGACATAAAACGTGACATGTGGCATAAAACGTGACATTTGACATAAAACGTGGTAGTTATATGACATTTAAAGCGAGTCTGTTTTGTTTTGTCTATTATTAAGCCGCGTTTTATGATAAAAGTTACGTATTACGTGGACTCGTCTAATAAAGATGAAAGCAGGTGAGGAAATAACAAAGACGTTTGCAGATATCTTAAGTCATAATGGCGAATTACTGGTGCTGACTAGCAGAGAATAGTTGAACTACAAGAATAATTTCTAAATTAATTTTAAAATGGCGAACATGCATCGTTCTCTCTCCTATTTACCTACAAGGTACTTCTATCTCTTTGATTTCCCTATTCTGATAGTCTTACAAACGTAGCCAAGTTACTAGTCTCTCCTAAAACGAAAAACTCTGTGGTTATGTATAGAAATCAAGGGAAAAATGCAAGCTAATTGCTGCACTAAGAATTAAAAACAAGTGCTGGGAAATTGTGTACACGAGGTCTTGCTATTAAATAACGAGACAGCTTATGAAAAAGAGTTTTATTTTAAAAATTATTTTACAATCGCATGCTGTTCTTCAATATATTCCCCTTCCCTCGCCACACACCCTTCCATTCGTTTTTTCTATTGGTCAAAACAATGCTGGAAGGCTTCTTTTGTTAAATCTTTTAGGAGCTCCACCGTTTTTCGCTTCACCTCTTCCATCGACTCGAACCGGATTCCTTTTAATTCAGACTTGATCTTCGGAAACAGAAAAAAGTCACAGAGTGCTAAATCAGGCGAGTACGGCGGGTGTTCGAGTACTGGAATGCCTCTAGCGGCTAAATAACGCTTCACAGACAGCGCGTTATGGGCAGGTGGGTATCCACGGCTTGTTTTTCCACAACTCCGGCCGTTTCTTACGAACTCGCTCTCACAGCGTTGCCAAAACTTTCAAATAGTAAGTTTGGTTTACAGTTTGGCCCTCTGGAACCCATTCGGTCATCACGATGCCGTCAATGTTAAAAAAAAAACGATGAGCATGGCTTTAAATTATGATTTCATTTTATCGACATCCTTGCTCTTTTCATTCTTGGCGATGCAGGAGTTTTGTGATGATGTTTTCCACTAATTCAGGTTCTTCATGCAACCTCTCAAGAAAATCTGAGCAGATCTGTTGACGGACGAACTTTTGGCCAGGGGTTAAATTTTTTGGGACCAACTTCGCACAGACTTTCTTCATGTTCAATTCGTAATGTAATTTTTTTTTTTTTCAGTTTCTTTATCGGTGTTTACAGTCTCAGCAATAATCCGAATGCTCATTTGACGATCTCCGCGCACAATTTCATTTATTTTGGTCACTGTTAGCGGAGTTGAAACTGAGACAGGGCGACCTGGACGTTGGTCATCTTCGGCGCTCTCTCGGCCTTCAGAAAACCGTTTATACCATTCGAAAACACGCGCAGGAGATAGAGAATTCTTACCATAGGCCTCTTTCAACAAACTATAGCACTCAGTCGGAGTTTTTTTTTAAACGAGAAATTTCACATTGATCCGTTGCTCATGTTTTTCGTCACACATTGTTATCGGCACGAGAAAAAAACACGGTATTTTCTAACCTCTACAGAAAAAATACTACTACAGCGACAACAACGTGTTTTCGTACTGGAAGAGTAGACACTTCCAGCTATCCATTGCTGCATTCGTTTCCCACTAGGACGCCTTCTGTGCGCACTGTCTCGTTTTAATAGCCAGACCTCGTATGTAGGAAGAATTTTTGACTTTCTATTATGATTGTTCTTGTTCTTTTGTTGCCGTTTGTGCTAAACTGCTTCTGTCCATTTTCATACATTGTCCTGTAATTTTCTTCGATGTTTTCTCCAATCATTAGAGTTTAAATTCACATTTCTCTGTTGGTTTTGTATTTTCTATTTGATCTTTCCTTTTTATCTTAAAGTTACCAAGCACAGATACAAATCGTTCCTTATGATTGTCATTTACTAACTGTATACAAAAATAAACAATACATCTAACCTTTAAATTTAAATAATTTTTCTTTTACAGCAAAAGTAATCAGTTGAATAGAACAGAAGGCTAGATTAGTAGTTAGCTTATATCGCCTATAACATAATTAGAATATGTTATAAACCAGATCTGAGTTTTATTCAGAAAACCTGACACCGTGTGTCAGCTAAATAGCATTTTTAACTATTTAAGTACTAATCAAAATGTTACTGTACTGTTCATTATTACAGTTACCGACGATGTTTTCCTAGCTATTTCAGTTGCAAAAACTACAGTTCAACTGTGTGTTAAATTCATTACTTTAGTTTTAAAAATAAGACAAATATTTCTGTGAAGTTAAGTGTAATTTTTGCAACTTTCTTGGCATGTATTCTTTTTTGTGAACTTCACACAACATATTTCTTTTGTAGCATGTTATAAATTAGCTATATGTTTATAGCTACATAAAATAATTTTGTTTGCAGAGTTGTATCATTTTAAGCATAATAAACGTTTACAAATTCTCAGACAATCATAAAACAGCTAAATAAAGATACTCTATTGACGTCTAAGATGAATGGTTCACCTTTACTTTCATACAGTCGTTGAATTTAGTCTTTAGTAATTTAGTACATCAAGTGGAACAGATTCTCTTTTTCTCTTTAACATATCTCTTTAAGTGCCCTTACAAATATTGTTGGTTCTTTCTTTCCGTAGATTTCCTCAGAAATTGTTTTGCAAGCTTCGGATTTCTCAATTTCTTCCAACATTTTATCTTAAAATATTTCAGGTTAAATATTTAATATACCAATTTCCTTTCATTCACAAAATTTCATTTTGAATATTTTTAACTGTTTGATCTGATTTTGGATTTTTGATTTTGGAATCTTCTTATTTTTGTCGAAGATAAGTATACCCTCCTCATCATCATCACTGGCTCGACAACCCTTTTTGTCAGACCAATAACTGTTCCAGGATTCTTCTTCATTCTGTTTCGAGCTTTCTTTCTCCATTTTTTTTTATTTTTAAAGCTGTTACATCATTTTTTTATTTCTTCTATGTATCTCATCTTCAGTCTTTCCTTTATTATTTTTCCTAATTGTTTTCTTATTTTGTTTTCTTCTCTGCCCTCTTTCATTCTATCCACTCGTCCCATTCAACGCAGGCGACCAATTTTAATGAATCGATCCTCCTAGATTACTTATTTTCTTTGTAGTTTGTGTTATATTTCGTCTCATTACTTGCATGTAGTGCTGTAGTCTGCAAAATTATTTTAAAACTTTCTAATATCTTTTCCCTCAACATTTATGTGGTAAGTGTCCCAATGTGTTGTGGATTGATATCTCACTTTGCAATTGTCTTCTATCTTTTTCTAGAATAATCTTTTTATTTCCTTTAATCTTTTGGATAGAATCGTCATTTGCTAGTTTAAGTGTATCAACCACTTGTTTGTTTAACTCATCTACATCGTTCCTAAGAGTGTCATTAATATTTTTGTAAATTTGATTATTGGAATAAATACGGACATGCGATTTCATGGGCTATATGTAACTATATTTTAAGTGATACAATTCTGTCAAAAGTATTACAACTCTGTTAACAATGCACATTCGTGTTCTGTCACTCAAATGAGGACAAAAGGTTTTACACTTTTTGTGTTTCACAAATTTTACTACAGTACAAAATTTTGCTCTAGATATACCTCTTTAGAGCACACTAAACATATTAGATACAGTATTTTGTACTATTTGTCTATTTAAAAAGAATATTTTCATT